ACCAGAATGCTTGGTATAAGGTTCATCTTTTTAGGCCTGTTACCCATTCTTGGTTTATCAATTTTAATCAAAATTGTAACCCTCATTTTCCGAGTTGGTTTCAAACTTGGTTTCAGTATCATGGACTTGAAGAACAAATTTTGCCCAATCTAGTTCTTCAAGGATATGAATACTTCAAAAGAGAGGCAAAACCTTTTCTCAAGCCTCAAGAAAATCTTTTGTTTCAATTTGCTTTCAATATGAAAGTTTCATGGATTTTCTGTTGGGATTTCTTCCATTATGAAAATCTTCAAGATATGTTCTCAACCCACAAAATTACAAGATTCAAGATAAAATGGTGGGCAAAGTTCAAAGAAACAAATTGTTGTCCAAAAGCAGTTCAATCATGGATACAAGAACAAAGAAATTTGGGTGTACCTAAATTTTCAAAGAAAGAACAAGAAGATCAAGCTGATTTTTTGACTGAAAAATAAAGAATCATTGCAATGTTATCAAAATGTAAAGATCCCAAAAAATTATTAGAAATTTATGATCAAATTTCTAAACAAGGATCTTCAAAAACAAATTAATCTGATCAAGAAGAGGAATCTCAATATTCTCAAGAGACTGACAATGGTGATGACTTAGTTGATCTAGGTGATGACTATGCGGAGTTTCTTGCTCAAGAGAAAGTTGCAAAAGCTCAAAAGAAAGCTTCAAAGAAAACTTCAAAATGACTATATGGACCCAGTTTTCTTGATGAATTGAGACATTCAAGGGTCTATCAAGCAAGAGAAATTCTCCTCAACATTGTCCAATTCAAAATCGGTGGTGCCACATTTGTCAAGATTCCCATCAACTTTGTGTCAGACATCAATATCTACTTTAATAAAGAAAAAGATTATCTTTATTAAAGGAAGTCAAAAATTGGAAACTTTTGACTAAAGTTGATGCTGCTTTTCAAGATGCTCCATTATGATGTCGTCCACTTCTCTTTTCAAGATTCTTTCTCTAAAATGAAAGAAATTTCAAGTCCGGACTTCATTATAAAAGGAGTTCAAGATTTCATTTCAAAGCAGAGCGAATTCAGCAAGAAGAAGTTTTACTTTTCTTTGTAATTTGTTCTCTCAAATATCTTTCAATTATCCTTGTAATATTTAAATCTTCTTCAATTATCAATAAAAGTATCTATTTTCATAAATTTATGTTCTTCTATTTCATCTTCTATCCCCTGGGTCTTTTATGGATTTGTCTCCTGAAAACATATGTTGACAGGAAACGGTCCCAGTTTACCTTATATCAAACCATTCCCCCAGGGCAAAGGGCGGATTACCTACTCCTCCATCCATGGTCTTACGTCTTTCTCTGCCAAAGGAGTTTCGAACCTTGTACCTCTGGGATCGCAAGCCTTTCAACTTGGCTCTGATACCATTTGTCTCCTGAAAACATATGTTTTCAGGAGACAAATGTGTATATATATATATATCCATGCATTCTATGCACGGAGGAGGCCAGGTCTTCTCTTCCAAAATTTTGTTTAGATTTTCCCTATTATATTTGTTTTTATTCATTAGGCATGTTTGTTTAAATAAATAATAATTCGAAATATTATATCTATATATGCACGCTTGTATTTGTCCGACTTAGAATAATAAAATAATATTTTTCTTCCTTCCTTGTCAGTATGGTATATTTTATTATAATTTTTGTGTTTAAGTTTTACAGTTAACTTGAATGCTGTCATAGCTTGCTTGTTTGCATAATCATAATGGGTGGATGGACGCCTACATTTTTCCAACTTCAAGTTCTTGAATCTATATTTCATCAAGGCAACACAAGTCCAAACAAATCGGAGATTACACAGATAATCTCTCAATTGTCGTTATATTGCCAAATGCGATAAGAATGTTTGTAATTGGTTTAAAAATAAACGTGCTCATTCAAGAACGACATCCACACAAACACAAAATTCTCAACTTAAGCCAATGGTAAAAGAGACAAATTACGTAAAAGCGTTTTAGGTATGATTATTTGTTAAAATATGATTTTTTGTTCATTTTTTTCATTCTCTTTTCGACGTAATTTTAACATACATATTTGGTATTCTGAAAGTTACTACAAGTTATGCACCAGAAAGGCAAACTGGATGTCGTGACTTTGAAACAGGGTTTTTTTTTTATGATATCTTTCATAAATCTTATTTTTATTTTTATGTTTTTAGGTTGTATTGATGATTGTATTGGATTATACAAGGATGAAAGTATTTGTCTTCAAAAAGATTCTGAAAATGAAAATCAAAATCAAAATGAAGTATCAAAAATTCCTAATATTTTACCTGATTCTGAAAGGGTTGATTCCAAACGAATAAATCTAAGAGATATTCCTTCCAAACATTATTTTCTTCCATCATCTACAATTTGTAAATATTGTGGTGCAGAAAAGTTTCATAAAGAAACTAAGGGCTTTTGTTGTTGTGATGGAAAAGTTAGATTACAGTTAAATAGTGTTCCTCCTGAATTGTTTGAGCTATTTACTTTTACTTCATGTGAGGCAATTGCTTTTAAAATACTTGCTCTTACTTATAATAATCATTTTGCTTTCACTTCTTTTGGTGTTAAGTATGATAAAAATTTGTGTAGAAATAATAAAGGTATATATACATTTAGAGTTCAAGGACAAGTATACCATTTTTTAAATCCATTGTTATCAATTGATGGGAAACCAGCATATTTACAGTTATACTTCTATGATATTGATAACGAAATCACTAATAGACTAAAAAATTCTGACGGGTTATGTGAAACAACTTTGAGAGAATTGATAGATGTCCTGAAGATGAATCCATATTGTCGTTTTTTTCGATCATTGAATGAAATTTTTTATCTTGGTTCATGTCATATTGTATTTAAGTGTGATCCAGGTCTTGACCAAAGACTGTATAATATTTCATCCTGTGAACAAGTGGCTGATGTTTGGGTTGACCCATCCGCCAGCATTCAAAATCGCGATATATTAATTTATGGACGTTCTAACCCTACACATAAAGTGAATTACTATTATGGCTGCTATGATTCACTTCAGTGTCCATTGATATTTGTCTACGGAGAATCGGGATGGCACGAAGGTATCAAAAAATTCAATTTGAATACTTCTTCACTCATCGATGAAAATTTTATACAAATTAATAACATTCATTCGGCTGAACAACTTTTGAAAATGGAAGAATGTGGTAAGTTTTACCATCCATCAAATTGTTTTATATGTAATAAGAGAGTATGTAATTATATTCTCCTTCTCAAATTTTTTCTTCCTATTTTTTTTCAGTTTTGGCGAAATCGAAGAAGCGAATGAATGTATCTTGTCGTGAGTATTATTGCTATAAACTTCAAGTAAGGCTTTCAGATAATTCTATACTTCTTCATACGGGTAGACTTCTGCAACAATATATAATATATATGCATGTTAAAATTAAAACTGCAAGATTTGATTATTTTCGAAATAATCAAAAGATTATAAGAGCAGAGCTTTACCAAAGAATTATAGATAGTGTACAAAATAGTGAGAATAGAGGCTATAAGATTGGTAAATCAATAGTGTTACCCACGTGGTTTATTGGAGGTCCTAGAAATTTAACTAAAATATATATGGATGCAATGTCTCTAGTTCAAAGATATGAAAAACTCGATGTATTTTTAACAATGACATGCAATCCAAATTGGCCTGAAATTAAATAAGAATTGAGACATAGTGATGAAATACAAAATAGGCCAGATTTGTTAGCACGAATATTTCGAGCTAAGCTTGAGGAACTAAAAACAGATTTATTGAAGAGGGAAATTCTTTGGCCTGTAATTGCTTGTGTTTATGTGGTTGAATTCCAAAAAAGAGGTCTCCCTCACGTTCATTTTCTTCTTATATTTAAACCAAATTTTAAGATTACTAATTCTATACAAGTTGATAAAATTATTTCGTGTGAAATACCAGATAAAAAGAAAAATTCTTATCTATATATTATTGTGATTAAACATATGATGCATGGTCCTTGTGGACAATTAAATCTTACAAATGTTTGCATGGAAAACGATGGTACTTGTAAAAATAAATATACAAAAGAATATATTTTACATACTTCATTGAGTAATGATTCTTATCCGCTTTATAGATGTCGTAACAATGGTGTTACAGTTAAAGTCAGAAGATGCATACTAGACAATAGATGGGTCGTACCATACAATCCGTATATTTTAGCTAGATACGATTGTCATATTAATGTAGAAATATGTTCTTCTGTTAAAATTGTAAAATATTTATATAAATATGTATACAAAGGACATGACCGTGTCAATTTTGTTGTGAATAAAGAAACTAATGAATGTTATATAGATGAAATTTCAAATTATCAAACTGCTAGATCGATATCTGCGCCAGAAGTTGTTTGAAAAATTTTTAGTTTTGATTTATTTGACATTTCTTCTTCTGTAATTTCTTTGCAATTACATGTTGAAAATTCTCAATTAGTTACTTACAATGAAATTGATGATTTATCAGATGTTGTAAATAAAGACTTTATCCAACGAACAATGTTAACTGAATTTTTTTCGAATGAATATTTTTGATGAAAAGGTTCGGACTTTACTTTATAAAGATTTTCCTACACACTTTGTATGGAATACATATTTACGAATTTGGAATACTAGAAAAAAAATCAAAATATTATTGGTAGAATAGTTGCTGCTAATCCATCTGAGGGTGAGAGATACTTTTTAAGAGTTCTACTGAATTATATTAAAGGACCAAAATCTTTTGAAGATTTAAGAATAGTTAATGGTGTCGTGACACCTACCTATCGTGAGACTGCATTCTTACATGGTCTAATCAGTGGAAATAATTATTTTGACATGTGTTTAAACGAGGCTATTTCTTATCAAATGCCTGTATCACTCCGTTGACTTTTTGCTAATGTGCTAATTTTTTGTGCCCCTACAAATCCTAGAAATTTATGGATTAAATATAAAACTTACATGATAGAAGATTATTTACATACAGGTGAGATAAAGTATGATGTTGAAATTAGAGCACTACGTTGTATAAATTCATTCTTAGAAGTTGTTGGTAAAAATGTAAATGATTTTTGCTTTATAGATTTCGACGTTGCTGTAAATGAAGCCGACATGCTAGCAAACATTATTTTAGAAGAAAATGCAAATGTCAGTGTTGAGTCTGACATACATTTTACAGAGAGTTTAAATAAGGAACAACAATTTGCTTATGATAGTATTTTAGATTGTGTTTTCAACGATAGAAATGAACTTTTTTTTATTGATGGTTCAGGAGGTACCGGCAAAACTTTTTTGTACAAAGCATTACTTGCTACAGTAAGATGTAGACAACTCATTGCATTGGTAACAATATCATCTGGAGTAGCTACTTCTTTATTACCTGGTGGAAGAACTAGTCATTCGCGTTTCAAAATTCCTCTTCAAATAAGTCCAAATATGCGATGTTCGGTAAGTAAACAATCAGCACTTGGTCAGCTTTTAAAAATGACGAAGCTAATTGTGTGGGATGAAGCACTAATGGTTAATAAATATACTTTTGAAACTTTGGATAAAATGTTAAAAGATATTACTGAATGTGAATTGACATTTGGTGGAAAGGTCATTATGTGTGGAGGAGATTTTCGTCAAGTCTTGCCAGTGGTACAAAGAGGAACAAAAGATGATATTATGAAAGCAAGTTTAGCATTCTCATATTTATGGCAATACATTAGACAACTACTATTAACTCAAAATATGAGAGCTTGATCGGATCCTTCCTTTTGTGAATATTTACTCAAAATTGGAAACGGAATTGAAAACGAACATACATGTCGCATGATTAAACTTCCTTTAGATATTGTCATAGATTTTGAAGATGAAGATAAATCATTGAAAAAGTTAATCAGATTGTGTTTCCAAATTTTCACACTTATAGTAACAATTTAAATACTATGATGAATAGAATTGTTTTAACTCCAAAAAATGAATATGTAGATATGATAAATAATATGTTAGTTAAACAAATTTCAGGAGATACATTTACATATTTTAGTTATGATGAAGTGAATGATAAAACAGAAGGATTTATTCATGAAGATTTTTTGATTAGTTTAACTCCAAATGGTATACTTCCATATGAACTTATTCTAAAAAAAAAAATTGTCATGTTATGTTGTTAAGAAATATTAATCCTTCGGAAGGCTTATGTAATGGAACTAGACTTATTTGTCGTGAATTTAAACAAAATGTTATTTTAGCTGAAATTGGATGCGGTGAATATGGTGGATAAACATTCAGTACCCTTTAAAAGAATTCAATTTCCAGTTCGTCCTTGTTTTGCTATGACTATTAACAAATCACAAGGTCAAACATTAGATTTTGTGGGTCTATATGTGCCTGAATCTGTGTTTTCACACGATCAGCTATATGTTGCGTTGTCTAGAGCAAAGACAAGACAAAATATAAAAGTTTTGATTAAACCAGCAGACGAAAAAAAATCGCATATTTGTTGCACAGAAAATGTGGTGTATCTGGAAAATTTGAATTTAATACATTCTATTTGACAAGTCTAGAATTCTAAATTGTCCAGAATTAATCTATCATCTTGTTTCTGTCAAAGTGAAGATTTATACAACAATATACAAGGTTTGTTATTTTCATTTTTTTAAAATTATAATTATATTTTGTTTGATAAGATGCTTAATTTTTTTCATCGTCTTTCTTACTTAGAGCATAAATATGAATATTTAACAATTAATTTATGAGCATAGAAACCATGTAAAATTGTGATATTATAATGTTGATTCAAACTAAAACATTGTCAATTGTTCAGGTTTATTATGATTTCACCACAGTTATTTTTTTCTATATATACACCAACAATATAACAAAAAAATTATAATAATAATAAATAAAAAAACACAACATAAACTTATTACATAACATTTACTGTCATTAGATGACCATATAACTAAGTATAGGAATGAAGAATAACTAAGAAGAAGTATGAAGAAAATATTCATTATTACAAATATCCACTAATATCTTCCGTCTGTAAATTGACATCCTATCAGGTGAAACTAATTCTATTGGCTGCCCTAGGAGAAAGCATTCTATATATTTTAGCATGAACATTCCACAGTTTGGCCTATAGAAGAAATCGTTTTACATTAGACGATATCCATATAAAGAAAAAATTAAATATTATAGCAAATAAAAAGTTATTTAAATGCTCACCCATTGCCTGCACATGGTAGATAAGGTATCATCTCCACTTCCATTGTTTTACTTCTATGTTTCCTTACATCCTTTCGGATAGAAATCTCAGAATTTATAATGAATGCTTGGATTATAATATGTGTTGCTTTTGCATGTACCATGACTTGATCTGGTATAAGAATGTCGTTGCTACAGTCATATATTTGAAATTTCCATTCAGGAATATTCACCACAAAGAGATACCAACAATTGCCAGGAAATAAGCATGGAATTAGTAGATGCTTGCACGCCATCCACTTACGACCATTCATAGGCGAAAACCATTCACATATTCATTTAACGGAGTGAAATCCACTTCTCTCCTGGTGGTTTTGTTTTTCTCTTCTATTAACCAGGTGAAAATTCTAGAACACTCATCTTGAAATTTGAAATCCATTACAGTATAGTCTTTAGAAATTAAGGTAGAACCATCCTTGATAAATCGCTTTAATAACTTCAACTTTAACTCAATACTCTAATAGAATAAATACATGTAAAATTAATTTATTATTAAATATCAAACATAAAATTAAATTTATTGTAATCACTAAACCTTACTTACCGTAGGAGTTATATCTTTTCCTACATCCAACAAATTTTTCAACATGTCCCTTCCAATGTAGTTGCTACTGTCCTCCAAATAAGTACTATATAAACAAATATAAATTAATATTAGATACTATAATTCATTATCCACTGAACTAAAAAAAATAGTATTTAAGCTAATACAGAGTTAAATTTGTTACCCTGATAGATTGTGCAATATCCAATCTCTAATAATGTTGTACTTCTTCTTTGGATAAGTTTCTAAAGGATGGCATTTTGATGATGAAGACAATATCTGTTTTCTCTTACCTTTATTTTCTCTTCTCGATCCTTCAACACTTTCCGTCTCTTGTTTAAATGTTGATGTTTCCCTTGGCGAATCACTCAGAATTGGAATTGTCTGAATAGGAACATCTTGTTGCATAGAACCAATGATGGCTTCTATGTTTGATACATTGCTCAATGTATTCTTGTTCTGTTAATCTACGTAGGATCTCATTGAACTTAAACTGTTATCCACATAAGATTGCATCTTGCTTAAAATATTTTCTTCTTGCCTTTTTGTTGTTGTTGAAATTCCTGTTGGAATACTTGTCTCAGAATAGTATCCATATGAGAATGAATACTGGATTGCATATAATCTTCTTGCCATTTTTTATGTTGTTCAAACATCTGGTTTTGATTGTGAAATATTTCTTCCTTCAAATTATGGCATACACCGAACACATCTGATATTACATGTTGCCTATGTATTCCCGGCATTTCTTCCATTTGTTCTCGAGTTATATAGTTCAAAGCATCAAAATCAGAAGAAGAACCAACTTGAGGAGAAGTTATGAAACTACTCGGAATGGTCATTTCTTGCACAAAGATGTTTTCTGCGATTCGTTGTGGGATTTGTTGTACTGTGTTGTCTAATTCCCCATGAGCTATACCATCTAAGATGTTATGTTCATTATCTGCTGGCATTGAAAGAGTTGTGTACGATGATAATTCTATGTGTACCATGATAATTCTAACTCTTCTTCCGTACGATATAACACAGCAACTACCTCAATCTGTAATCATGATAACTAAATTTAGTTTTTAAATATTAAAATGAATATGTAATCATGCATTCTTAAAAAAGTATATTATACCTCCCTCGTGGCCAAAAACTGTTTTACCATTCTCTCATGGGTATCCACTTGTACATTTGAGGACTTTGTGCTGTTTTGTATCTCCTGCGTCCTAATTTTTTTCCAATCTCTAGAATAGCTTCATATATCCAGAACTGCAAATAATTATAATCTTTTGTTATACAAATAAGTTATAAATAATATATATAAAATAAAAGAACAGAAAAAATTTACCTGGAATGCAAGTGGATATCCTTTTAATGCATACTTGCAGTCTGATTGATTTTATTCTGCTCTTTGCACTCTTTGAGCTTGTGATTCTTGCAAAGAATTTAACAAAACAAAATATGCTTTTCGACCCCATGGATAAGCAAGAAAGTCATCGAGATGCTCAACCATACCAAGAATCTTATAATCAATATTTCTGCCAGTTGGTTTCAAAATACACTCCACGAACATAATCAACCCCAACTTAAATTTATCTATATAGTCTTCACATGAATGGAATGCTTGATGTAACATTCTCATATTAATTCTTCTCAAACCATTGAAATATTGATTTATAAGACGATGGTTATTATGATTAATCTCCACAGATGATTCATGGCATGGTAATCCGGTGATGAGACAATATTCTTGCATACTAAATCTAGCAACATGATCACCTAAGCGTACCCACACTTCCTTATTTTTACCACAGTGTATAAGTCTCATCACAAATTCATGTATCAACTAACTGCTAAATTGTTCCTCATCTTCCCTATATGATGTAACATTCTCATATTAATTCTTCTCAAACCATTGAAATATTGATTTATAAGACGATGGTTATTATGATTAATCTCCACAAATGATTCATGGCATGGTAATCCGGTGATGAGACAATATTCTAGCATACTAAATCTAGCAACATGATCACCTAAGCGTACCCACACTTCCTTATTTTTACCACAGTGTATAAGTCTCATCACAAATTCATGTATCAACTAACTGCTAAATTGTTCCTCATCTTCCCTATTTATAACTCCCACAAAAAATTCATAGAAATTGCTGCACATAACAGAAGCCTCAAAAAAATCCAGGAGATATTGCCGATTTGGATATTGACAAATAGTGGCAGGGAACCATTGATTTGGAGAGACAATATATTCAAGAGACATCTACATAATAAAAAAAATACACAAATTTATATTTATAAGAAATTCTAGCTCTATATTAGATGATTATGACAAAAAATACTAAAACTCCAAGACTTTATACATTAGGTAGAATACAGGCTTATATGAATCACTAAGACTATAATTTTTCCTCCATCTTATTTTCCTTTTTTCTGCTGTTGAAAATTTTACGTTAAGAGTCAAATCTAATATGTTTATATGATTCTGCTTCTTCAAATTGAATTTTATTTGTGAAGGTTTTTCTTCATAAATTATAGTTACAATTGAACCCTTGTCACCTATAATTCATAGACATTTTTCCATGTATACATACAGTAATCCCAATTATTTATACAGATACAACTTCTTGAGTTTTACATGCAGAGTCTTGTCGCGTAGTTTAGATTATTCCAAATTTTTTCTTCGAGGAGGACATAGAGAGTATAGAAATCTTATCTTTCAGCCAGCTAAAATGTTTCTCTCTACTCTCTACTTTGAAAACTCTTTCTCTCTTGTAAAAATGTGTAGAATTGTAGAATTTGTAAAAAGTTAGTATGATTGATAAGATAAATGGTATAAGATTCTTCAGATGTGAATATGAATTCTTGTGACTTTAAACTTTTAACTTTTAGTGGTTGAAACAATAAATGAAGATAATAATTGTATGAATGTTATTTTGTTGTTATGT